CAAAAATCTCGAGAAGCTACAATCGACGAACGAATCACGGCACTACGGGCCATGCGACAGAACCTGACGTCTAAGAAGGAACTTGTCGAGAGACAGATCAACGATCTTGAGAAAAGAATCCAAGAGAGGGCACAGAAGGGCATCGGCGAGAAAAAGGAGACACCCCATAATGGACGATGATATGCAGTCTTTGTGACCAATTTCGAGGACTAAATGACCGCGGTCTTCCTTTCTTGGTTGCTATCGGTCTACGAGCATATCGCTGCCTCAGCTGCTGCTCGGGCTCAATCGCAGCCGCCGATAGCCGGTCAATCAGGCTATGCAATGGGCTACTGGAAAAGCTTCACAGCAGTATCTCGGCTGTGCCAAAACCGGCTTTAGCTAAACGTGGGCGCCGTCCGGTCTGTGCCATAGCTTTTACTAAGAAGACGTAAAGAGGCTGCTCGATAACGGAGTCGCTTAGAGTCGGGACTGAGTACTTCAGCAGGCACAAGCTAGTCTCATGAGCTATACCTTTGGACGTCTTCCAACCCCGCTGACGAGAAGATTCAGTGATAGAGCCTATGATCCACGCTCTCCAATAGGGGAGCCAGTGTGGATGGGAATTCTATATGAGATGTGGCAAGATCAAGAGCATATCATTTGAAACCTGGAGCTATGAAATGGGGTATATCAGGGGTATGGAGTCAAAGCCAATCTATACATAACACCAAATATCACCAAATATCGTTTATCAAAGAGTGACATCCTGGAATCCATGGAAACAGCACAATAATCATCAGAAATATGCTCTCAGTTCATCGATCGGGGAGCGGATCAATCGTCCAGGATACCTTGCGCAAGCGCCGCCAGACTGGCTTCATATCTTGCTGGGTTGTGATCGCTAAACATTCCGGACCCAAATCTCAACTCTCCAAAAAGAGACTCGACATCTCGAATAAACTTCAACTGTACCCTCGTTGCAGGCCGACCAAGCATCGGGTAGCCGTCCCCGCCAAAGTCAGACGTAAAAGCATTGCGTTGAAGAACACGCATGGTCTCTACCACAAAGACCTCTCCAGGAGGCAGCAGCTTGGGGGCACACATCTCTTCTCGAAGCGCCTTCAATGTTTTCCACGCCCAGGCATCTTCTCCAAGGCCATCGCCAGCGTGCAGAAGCATGGGCGCTTCATTGACGTAAAATTTGTTAACAATGCTCTGCCTTAGACCTTCCCAAACTCGGTATCGCACATGCGACTTAGTCCCAGAAGTGTCACTCTTGAACGCGACAGATACAGCGTGCATATCGTGCAAGATGCCTAAAGAAAGACTTGGTACCACATCTTGGCCGTTGACGATCGTCGTTATTAAGCCACGAGTTGCACGGCGTAGGAATGGGGACATAGCAGACGGGGGACCGTACGCATAGACATGGATTGGACGTCCAGTTGGGAGATAGAAGGGAAGGCGGCTCTCTTCGTCTTCATCGTCATTGTTCCCCTGGAGCATCCGCCGTGCGGCAGACTGAGGCGTAGCGGTTACGAACGAGGTTCCAAATTGCTCGCTGTTGGGGACCGATATCATAGTGGCTAGAAGTGCGGCAACGCCACCCCCCAAGGAATGGCCGCATAACACTACGCCGTAGTCTGGGAACTCTTCAAGAGCGGCCCTGATGGTGATCATAACTCTTCCGCCACCTCCCATTAGAAGGCGCTTTGCCGAGGCATGCATGCCCTTGTGAACTTTCCAGCTTCTCCCTTGCCATACGAGGTCATCATAGTCGCAAGTCATATCGGTGAGAACGTCCTCAAACCCCCATGTGCCTCTGAGAGTCAGAACAACGGCTTTTGAAGCATGGTCCAGGCATACATAATGAACCAAAGGGAAACCGCTGTCAGTCTCCCCGGCAGCATTGGTTCCTCCCGCCGGATCAACGAACGACGACAAGAGGATTGTCGACGCTGGTAGTCCCGTGTGGATCGAGAAATCAGAGTGTTCCTGGCTGTCGGATTCCAGGTGAGGAATAGCCCGGGTTGGCCTCGTCACACCCATCACTTTCAAAGCGTTCGATCCATATGAGGCCGAGGAGAATCGGCAAAAGCGTCTGATGTTCTGTACAAAATGTTGCTCTGGGAATATACCGGGAATTATGCCGTCACGGGTTAGCGATCTAATAGTGTCTATATCGTCGTATGCGCTCTTTCGTGCACGATGAGCAAGTATGAGTGACGTTTCCGAGCCCGCTGTTGCTAAGGAGTATATACTTGGCGCGAACGAGGTAGTCCTCTGCTGCCAACCCGCCGAGGTTGGGCGGCCATCTGCACCCAGGGACAAAGCCATGTCTGTCTCGGATCGCGTCAATGACAAGGAGCTGCTACTGCGCACATGGGTTCTTGTAGCGGCTGGTGAGTTTGCTCGTGTACCTGGGGATCGGAGGGAGTATGAGTCTGACTGGGTGATGAAAGTCTCCTGGTTCAATTCATGGACGGTGAAATAATCAGGCTGAGCATCTCTTTGGGGCCTGTTCGGCGTTTGTACTCGACGTGTCTGACTGGGAGAAGTTCGCAGCCGTGGGTCATGTAAGGGTGATCTCGGCACGCCTCTGTTCGCGACCGGCAACAATGTTCTGTTCGTGTGAGATCCAGTCGTCTTGGTTGCACTTTCCGCGACAGCTGACGCTGTCGTCATGTTATGGTGGGCTGATCTCTTGTCGGCAAGGAGCCCTTTCTGCATCTTGTTACGCTGGGTCGCATTTTTCGAGACCTTCGGAGCCTTATCGAGAGAGGATCGTTGTGCTGTTCGTTTGCCAGCCTCGTCTCCCTCTACATTAGCTGGTTTTACCTTCTGCGCTAATCTTGTTAGCGACCCTTTCCCGAAGGCCCCTTTAGATCCTGTGCTTGGTTCGTTCACAGGCCCACTGCTGGAAACTTCACGAGACTTTTTCGCACCGCCCAACCTGCCATCCCGTGCTGCTCCTATCGAAGAGAAGCGTTCTGAACTCGATTCCGGTGCGATGCGACTAGGAGGCTTGTCATATTCAAGACTCTCTATACGTCCCGTCGTTGAAGGCTGCTCATCGGACAGCCCTCTGCAGTCGCTGATGCGCGCCAGGGAATCATCATTTTTGTTATCCGTTCGCGTCTTTGTATCAAGCAAGGTAGATGGTAACACAGGGAGACTTTTCGTAGCTGACGGAATCTCGAGTCCTCGCGAACCGGAGTTCTCAGGCCTGTGAGACGGCCTGACATCCGCATTTTGTGTCTTATTGAAAGCAGTCCTGAAGACAACCGTGTGCTTGGGTAGCTGGTTCATAGTAGAAAGAAGACCACTGTTTTCATCTGGTCTGTCGTTGTGAAACCTTTCCTCAATCATCATCATGCCGGGAGGAGCAGCAATCTCAGCATTGTCATCATCATAGATATCGACTGTTATGGTCCGCGTGGTGACCACATCGGATCTGATTGACGCACGACAACCACGCGGAAGCTGCCTCATTATGTGTAGGCGAATATCTTCGTCAGAGACTTGTTGATCGCTAGGTGGAAGTAACATTTCGGGCACCTCAGCACGTTCGACCACACTCGACGGCCGCTGCACAGCATCGAAACGGTCCTCCTCATTACCGGGCGATATGAAAGATGATCGTCTAGTCGTAGACCCTAACGCACTCCGAGAATATTCAGCAGGCTCGATTGGATGAGTGCCAATGACGTCGGCCCTTGCGCCACTGTCTAAGATCACAACATCCCAAACAGTCTCATAGCCGCCGTTGAGGCGCATATGCCTCTCGGTGCTTTTTCGCCCCCATCTTTGAAGCATCGCAAAGCCGACGGTACCGACGAGAAGGTCGCCGACACCGATATTGTCCGTACCGATTTCTGCATTGGGACTTCTGAACTCCCGTCGAATAAGCGTTATGATAGCTGCAATAGCTCTTGACGATTCGGTCGAGCCGAGTATTGCGTCAAGTGTAGACAAAAGGGCCTGAGACACATGTGTAGCGGAGGAGAGCGTTGTCGATGAGAAATGAAATGTTGCGGCGGCAAAGAACGAGGCGGAGGTGACCGTTGTGTGCAGGGCGGCCAACTGGATCCTATATCAGTTTGAAGGACGGGTAGAAAAGAACAGGCATAACTCAGCATACACTTCGTTCGAGTAACGACTCAGCCTCCACTTTCCCACGCTCTCCACTGCTTCGAAGAGCAACATCTCGCCCGGCTCTCGTAAGAATCCCCTCAATGACTGCTCTACTGAGTTCCAATCCGGTCAGTGTCGTGACTCGCGCTCCTTCAATAGCAATGCCGCCGAAAAAACTCCCCAATTTCAGAGACAACGAGGTCGATTGAGTCAAGATTGACAAAGCAGATGCAACTGGTCGTGGAAGTAGAGTAGCCCCTGAAGTAGTTGACACATGACTTGCGCCGTCACGATCCAGAGCCTCCTCGATATCGCCTTCGGCTTCAACCCGCTTGCCAAAAAATGATCCAAAACCGAGCAGACGCGACATCCCGAGCCATATGGTAGGAACAGGGGTCTAATGTGCATTCATTTATTGTAAATGCGGGTCGAGATCATGTCAGCTTCGCGACGTAATGCGACAATCAATCAGGGCTGACACGAGCCATGGGCGCATGTTGCCAAGTCGGTAGATACCCAGAAGTTGCGTCAGAATTCAAAAGAGCCTGTTCCTGGAGACAAATCGCCCAACGTGTAGGTCGGTGGCAAGCCACGAGTCACCGGCCAGATAATCTTGCATTTGGAGGTTGATTCGTTGAGATGCGCCGGCGGGTGACATGTGATTCCGTCCCTTTTTCCCAACAAGAGAGCGGGTCGGAGGTGTTGCTTGACCTGGCCATCTACTACTCAAAATTCAGGTACGGACAGTTCCATCATTACAGTTTACCACTATTTGATTTGATTGTGTAGGTGATGATGTTTGTACGGAATCATTCCGCTCTAACAGTAGGACCGAGATGAGAGTGTTCGGTGGGTGCAAAGTCTCGAACGATATCTTCCCGACATCACATCATTGCCTTCAGGTCCCCGGAATACTGAATTTTCCTAACTTTATCCCGGTTGCACTCGGAAATTCCGCAGATACCGGCCAGCCCCATGCTTTGCCAGAGGTCAGCGAGAACGGCTCTGATCACTTGCTTTGCTCCTTGCTTCCCGTCCACAGCAAGCCCGTAGATTACCGGACGGCTTACTAGAACTGCCTTGGCCCCTAGACAGAGTGCTTTGATAATGTCTGCGCCAGTCCGAATGCCGGAATCAAACAGAACGGTCATCTTGTCACCTACGGCGTCCGCAATTTCAGGGAGCACGTCCAATGAGCCGATAGCGCCATCGACTTGCCGTCCTGTGTATTGTCAGACAAAATAAAGTGAGACTGTCAGGTCTTCGCTTCTTCTTTTCGAATGGACCAACTCACCTCCATGGTTGGAAACAATGATACCATCGCAACCAGCTTTCAGGGCAAGCTTTGCGTCTTCCGCATGTTGAATGCCTTTGAGGACAATTGGGCCGTCCCAATTCTTCCTCAGGAAAGCAATTTTTCCCCAGGTGTGAGGTTTGCCCGAGAAAACGTCCCCGATCCACGCCCGGGATGCCCCGACGATGTCCTCTTCGACCTTGGAGCCCGATTCCTTCTCGAATTTCGCGCGAAAGACTGGATCACTGAAGCCGATCTGATTGCCGACTCCTTTAATGAAAGGTACATAGGCGTTGTCTAGATCCGCAGGTCTCCATGCAAGGGACCAAGTGTCTAGTGTGACCACAAGAACAGAGAATCCGTTCTCTTTCGCACGCTTTAGCAATGACAACGTCACGTCGTCATCCTGAGGCCAGTAGAGCTGGTACCATCTTTTCCCATCTCCGTTCGCCTTGGCAACTTCTTCAATAGTGCTGCTACTGGCTGTACTGAGGATGTATGGTACACCGACCTCAGCACATACTTCAGCAAGTCCCGTCTCCTTGTCCTCATGGAAGAGACACTGAACCCCCACTGGGGCCATGAGGATGGGGGTGGGATACTCCTGACCAAAGAGATTTACAGTTAAATCCTGGTTAGCCACCTAGAAAGGGTATCATCAGCTACCGGCAGATGAATACACAGTGGCTACTGCATTAAAACGAACCGGCTTCATCATCCTCGGTACTCTACAAGTGACCATTGTCTCTGCGCATTAGTCCAAATCCGTTTACGCTGTACATGTTCGGAAGTAATAGATGCATAAGCTTACAGCTTCCATTGACGGAATGCCAGCCGATTGGCATCCATGGTTGCTTTTTCGCCCGCTCCACCAGCGACATAGTTGAATGATCGCACTCCTAACGCCTTGCGCGCCTGTTCTTCAAGCAGGCGAGGGTCGGTGGTAACATTGGGCTTGAGGCCCATCATAGCTCCACGGCCATAGATCTCCGTCTGAAACTCTCCGTAGTTTTCAGGCATTTTGGGCGCGATTAATATCCGGGAACACTTTGAGATGACTATAGGAAAGAGGAACGAACAGCAGTCATTGAAAAACACTTAGGCTGCTTACTATCAAGCTTCTATATGACATGATGTCAAGTCATCGCTTAGTTAACCCCACTTAAGCGTAATTATGCCTCGGCTTGGATATGCTGAGAGCGTCTGCCTGAAGCATCATTCTCTCTTTACCGTCCCATGGCTCTGGTTCTTGGTTGAAAGCTAAGCTTGAAAATAAGCATCTTACATGCGACTTCCTCTATTGACAGTAAAAAATGATATATCTATGTCCAAGGATGATATCTTAGAGGATCAATACATCGATGGTCAGCTTAGTCCACAACACTATCTTCCCCACTTCTGCAGAACCTTGATTTCTAATACTGTGATCAAAGGGCCATTGTGCGAAGATCATACCATAGCAGATGAGAGCATTGATTAACTGAAGATTTTTAAGACCGTCACCAACTCACCATTAAACTATTGTTGGCATTCACTCTCACAGCGGCATTGATGGTAGTGGGTGACTCGGTGAGACACAAGCGGCGCACTGATCTTGTTTCCTCACGGATCTCCCAACGTAGATCTCTGAAGATCACAGGGATGATCTCATATTGCAATCACCCAGAATGAATTTCGTTCAATTGATAGTAGCAAGATACGTGCTTCTTATTGTTAAGAAAGGAAAGCTGCATTGTTGATCCACACTTTACCTAAAATTTCTAGCCATGGTAAGGGTAGACTCAAGGTAGGTAATAATATAAGCAAACTCTAAAGTCACTGATAGATAAGCATCGTGAACCCCAATCAGTCTGGAATCTTGGCATTTGGCTACTGTGACACAAGTTCGTCAACTTTTTTCGCGTTTTCTTCTGCCCTGGATTTCTTGCTCACGCTCTAAATTCCGCTTTTGGAACCTTTATATATTGATTATGTGAACAATAGTCTGGCGATATCCGTTGTCTTACATTCAGAGGCGTCAATCTCGTTGATCGCCCGATGAGCCAGTAACAGAGACCAGCTTTTCCTACAGGGAGGGTAATCCTCCGTATATGATACAGGGCATAGATTCCCTATATTTGGAAATCGGCACCCTATAAGTGACCCGCGCAATGGAGCATGAGCAGGAATCAAAGGCGGACGTGGAGTCACCGCCGGCCAGGATCAATGAGAGCGTGTCGGAGGACTCGACGCTCGATGAGAAGAGGGAAAGGCTTCTGATTCGCAAAATCGACTATTACATTCTGCCCTTGGTTGTTCTTCTCTATCTGTTTAGCTTTCTTGACAGAGGTATGCTTTGGTTCTCGCCATGTCTATCTCACCAGTGCACTGATTCTTGGGCCAGTCAACATCGGGAATGCTCGACTGTATGGTTTGGAAGAGGACCTGGGCCTGGTGGGAAATCAATACCAGGTTGCGGTGTCTATTCTCTTCGTTACATATTGTGTATGATTTGATCCTTACCACAGCAGTGATATATCCGCCAGCGGCTAATTGTGTGGTTTGATAGTTGTTTGAGGTACCGTCTAATCTGGTCATCAAGAAGCTGAGGCCGTCGCGCTATCTCGCGTCCATTGCCGTTATTTGGGGTGTGATTGCGACGCTGACCGGCATCGTTCAAAGCTACGGCGGTTTGATTGCTTGTCGACTTCTTCTAGGTTAGTGTAGAACCCTGGACGTACAAAGCTGCCTTAATGCTAAGCTGATTTTTGTAGGTGTGGTGGAAGCTGGGCTCTTTCCTGGTCTTATGACATATCTGACGCTCTTCTATTCAAAGAGAGAACTGGCTCTGAGGACGGGGTATCTCTTCAGCAGCGCAGCCATCGCGGGAGCCTTTGGCGGGCTTCTAGCGTACGGCATCGGTTATATGGATGGCATTAGTGGGCTGAGGGGCTGGCGATGGATTATGATACTTGAAGGTATCCCAACTGTCATCCTTGGCATCGCAACTTGGTTCGTTCTCGCGGACGAACCCGACACAGCCTATTATCTCAACGAAGAGGAAAGAGCGCTTATTGTCCGCTGCCGCAGTCGCTATGTCGGACAAACAATGTCGGCGCAGAAGTTTCACTGGGCAGATGTCAAAGAAGGCTTCCTGGATTGGAAGATCTACGCTTTCAGCATCGGCCAATTTGGCGTCGATACTATGCTTTACGGCTACAGCACGTTCCTACCGACGATCATCAAAGGGATGGGGTCATGGTCGATTCCGGAAGTTCAGGCACTTACCATTCCCTGCTATGCGTTGGGTGCACTGGCATACCTCGCCATTGCGTGGCTCAGTGATCGACTCCAGCGTCGCGCATTGTTCATCTGCATTTTCAGCGTCATCTCTATGGTCGGCTATGGGATTCTTATCTCCGATGTCTCTTCCGGCGCGCACTACCTTGGAGCGCTGCTCATTGCCCTGGGATTATATGTGACAGTTGGTCTACCGCTCGCATGGCTACCAACTACCCTTCCGCGTTACGGAAAGAGGACGCTGGCGACAGGTATGCAGCTTACTTTTGGCAATGTCAGCGGGGTGATGTCGCCCTTCCTGTACAAATCAACAGAGGCCCCTCGTTATGTGCGCGGCAATGCCGTGACCCTATCACTGGTCGGATTCGCGGGCATCGTATGGGTTGTAATGTGGGTGTATTATCATCATGAGAATCACCGCAGAGCCAATGGCCTTGAGGACGAGAAGATTGCAGGCATGGCAGAGGAGGAAATTCAGGAGCTGGGTGATAATAGCCCTCGGTTCCGCTACACAACATGAGGTTTTGAATGAGTATCTTATACAATTTAGACAGGATAGACATCAGGCATCTCATTCCAGCAGCGTTTTCACTCAACGATATTATTTCACGCTTTGGCTGTAACTGCTTTCCAATGTAGCCTCAGAGATCCATATCGACTTGTTACCTAAACAGTATGATGGGGATTATTTGCCGGTCCTTTGTTCGAGCAATGTCTGACACCTCTGCGATCTATATTTGAGTCTTGTGGTCCACCACATTTGGGGTGATTTTTCTTGGCAAGTCAATGTTCGTGCGACTTCTATGACCTTTCCCTTTGCTATAAGCTTTCATCCTTTCAAGTGTTTTTATCTAGCTTCTGATGCCCTAAATCTTCCCCCAAATCACTTGCCAAATAATATGTTTGATGTTCGTCCATTGTGGACGATAATTTTCTCCTTTGTAGCTGCCATTGCGAGCGTCCTCTATTACAGCCACGGTTCACTACTTATCTGTCCGAGGAACCAGTTGTTTATTTCCCAGTCACCATACCACCCGAGCTGGAATACTTGGATCCATCCATCTACTTCCGGCGGCTCAAAGAACTCACATAAAGACTGGAGCCTTTTCTATCATCTCGGTGGATATGGACCCTGGGTTGAGAAACTCGACGGACATGCCGAGCCGCAAAGCATCAATCCTCCAGAGGGATATGCTGTAAATCAGGTCCATATGGTATAGTCTCTTCCGTATTTTGCTCCTCTGCATAGTTCTTGCTCCAAATTCTAATCGATGCGCAGATGTCACGCCACGCAGAGCGATATCCGACAAAAAAAGCCGGAGCTCGTATGTCACACTCGTCAATGATACTGATGTCCTCGAGAAGACTTCAATGTAAGCTATGATGAATCTAACATCGATGACCGCAGGTCATCTCTCACTTATCAACAGAATCAGAGACGCGAATGTCGTTCTGAACGGCTCATTATCGTTCCTCAACAACTGGACCTACTTTACCGACGAGCCATGGAAGGATTTTGACCAACTGACCAGAACCGGCCCGTATGCCGGCACCCTGCAAGCGTTCATGACTGGCGTTCGCTTCCTAACACGGTATGAGCATCTCCTACGGCCTGGCCGGAGGACGCGGATCTGGGCAAGCGACTCACAGCGCGTCATTGACACAGCCGCGTATTTTGCGTCTGGTCTTTTTGGTCTGGACTGGGAGAAGACTGGTAAAGCTGTTCTGGAAGTTATCCCCGAGACATTTGACCGACAGGCGGATACCCTCACGCCGGGGGATACATGCCTAAGGTATATTGAAGACTCCGAGAACGGTCATGACAACGGCTACACTATGCTGGCGCGGTTCCAGAATACGTATATTCCTGATATAGCAGCGCGACTCACCCTCGAGGAACAGAACGAGCAAATCGGACCGTTGACTAATCTGGAGGTCTGGAGCATGCAAGAGATGTGCGGATTTGAGACTCTTGTACGAGGATCGAGTCCCTGGTGCAGCGTATTCACCCATAAGGAGTGGGAATATTTTGCGTACGCGCGCGACGTGATTCATTACTATCGTGCGGGTCCGGGCAACCCATATGCTGGTGCGATGGGTTGGCTCTGGCTCAATGCCACGACAGCCTTACTGCGTGCTGGTCCCGAGGCCGGCACCATGTTTTTCAGCTTGTCAGTAGCAATGATGGTGTTGAATCGAGCTGTGTTTTTCCAGGCGCCAAAATTCTCAATTTAGGAGTCACTGTACTAACTTTTGTCTGTAGTGTTCATGACGGCGACATAGCGCCTTTCCTCACTGCTCTGGAAATTTTACATGACTCAAAATACGACCCTTACTTGCCAGTCACACATGTTGCCGAGGACCGTACCTGGCGCACTTCATCGGTGATGCCTATGGGAGGCAGAATTGTCATCGAACGAATGGCATGCCCATCATCACTCAAGAATGATCGGGATTCTCCTGGTGAGATATTCATACGAGTCATCGTCAATGACAAACCTATGCCTTTACCATACTGCAAGTCAGGACCAGGATTTTCTTGCCCATTAGAGGAACTCGTCGATTACGTACAGCAGCGAAGACGGGAAGTAGGTGACTTTGGAGGCGTATGTGGATTAGAAGGCGATGTTGGACACATTACGTTCTTGAGGCAAGACTAGAGCATTTATAGAGAGTCATGTTGCAACCTCAATACTTGACCTGCCTCGTTGTTATGTAGATCGGTCGGAGCCTTGCAAGTGTGCGGCATGTACATGGACTCTTTTACAAGATGGTCATCTATATTTGGCTCGAGTCGTATCCATCCAACAGTTTCCTATGAAGCTCCAACAGAGGTTTATTAGTATATTGACGACCTTAAATTGGGTGGTGAATAGTAAGAGGTAAACCTTTCATATTTTATAGATGTACTTGGAGCTAATCACGTGACCGTATCCGGGCTAACGCACTGTTTATTGCAAGAACCAAATATTTGATAAAGCTCCATCCATCTCAACGAAATCTGCTTGTGTTGCTACAGACAACGTACAAAATCCAGCCAGAGACAGGGCTTTCCTTTACTTGGTCCCTTATCATTCTTAAACTCCGGGATTGCCACCCTTAGATCAACGTATTTCTTTGTTCAGCATCAGAGCTTTGCGCCGCCGCCGCCCTTCGCCATGGAGTACCATTTTGTGCCTCCGGAGGAGCGCGCTAAAGATGACAAGGGGAATCTTTTGCCCTGGGGCTATGTGTACAAAGAGTGGGTTTATCATTTACTAAACCTATTATTTTCTCATAGTCTGGAATTTTGGCCTCTGGGTTGAGTAACTAACATGAGCTCTGATTCTAATAGTGAAGCCCGCAACCCACGACGACCACCTGAAGAAAGCGGCCCCTTTGGCAAGAGAAGAAATGCTCGCTACGAGCAAGCTCGTTCGCGTACACGTACTGGAACACCAGCCAAGCGCGAGAATCCCAATGTAGCAGAGTTCGGGCGGCTGTTTGCCCAGCAACAAGAGGAGGAGAAGAGTCGCAATACCCTGCCCAAGTCTTCGTCGTCCTCCAGCCTTGACAACCCACGAAAACAGACAGAGAAGATTGCGACCGAGTGCATACTTTACGGTTACAGGAGCAAGGATGGAGAGTGGAAGGTCATCGATAAGTACGAGAAGATCTCTCGAGGCTTGATCTGTGAGGACTACCCTCGTAGCGATCCCAACTCGGCGAGTGGCTTCGCACAACTACTCAGTGGTGGCGACGTGATCATCCGCCCCAATCTGTCTGCGGATGCGAACCGCAAATCGAAACGCTACGCTGGAGGTTTCCACTGGATCAAGGTGACGTTTGACTCGACGATCGCTGCGGATCGCGCATGCTTCTACTCTCCCCAGGAGATCGATGGGCATCTGGTCTTCTGTGAACTGTATCATGGCTCGGGACCTGCAGAGGATGCGCCGATTCCTGTAGACTCATCAAAAGCTGCCCAGTTCAAGTCGAAAGCACCGCGCACCTTGACCACCTCGCATTCTACGACATTTCTCCAGCCGCAGGATAAAGATCGTGCAGCCACGTTACCGCGATCATTTGCCATGAACAACCTATCAGGCGTAACAGAATCACAAGAAGAAGAGGAATCACAAATATCGACAAGCACTGCAAGCTCTGCCACCGCCACGGGTGTCGAGCAACCGTCTGGCCTTCAGCAACGCAATGTCTCCAAGGAACCAAAACCAGAGTCTGAGTTCATGACACACATCCCCACAGTTCGTCGAACCAAATTACGCCCCATTGCAGAAGCACTTCCGCCGCAGCCAACCGTGACAGAGCGTGTGCTACGGTCGATTCCTATCCTCAGTTGGTTTACTGGTGATATCGTCGGAGATGGACCTCAGTTACGTGAAGATGGAACCTTTGATTATGATAAGTCGAACGCTTATTGGCGCTTCTGGTACATGGTGGACATGATTCTGGGGACGGACATCTGTGGACTAAAGGAGGAATCGTGATGTCCTTCGCCATTATTTGCTGCCGCCGCCATCAACATCATTCATCACACCTCCGAGTCCGAAGCCGATATCCCTGCGACAGAGTGGCTCGACTCCAAAGCAACCCAAATATATCCTCATACAGCTCCTCTTCTCTGACGACTTGAACGAGATTCAAGAACGGGGATGTCATGTCTATCCTCGGATACCCTGCCTATGTATGATAACACTTTTCTATTCCTTACCAGTCTTCATTTGCGTCGTACCAACCCACCACTTGTCACCTCATCTCGTATCCGTGTTTATCTTCATGATGCATTGGTAATATGGAGAGAGTTGAGATAGCTTTGTATTTGCATTATTGGCGTGAAATACTTGAGGTTAGCTGTTAGAGATGAATAGAACATCTCTCAATCGACATCACCAAATTACACTACAGATACGAATCGAACTACACTTTACCAACATGCAACAGCCGCACCCCATCTTGAAACCGTCGCCTTTATGGTAGTGATCTGGCGGTTGACGCTGACATCTCTCTGAATTAGGATACGAGCTCCATTTGTGTTCAGAGTCGGTAGCCAACGGATTTTCAATCCATAATCTCATTCCTGGCATCTACCGCAGCCCAACGCCGTCCCCTACCCCGACAAGTATGACAATGATCATCGCAAAGGAGGTAAAAACACATGAGAGTAAAGTCCGGTCCTATTTTTTTGGAGATCAAGGTCGAGTTTGTGTATCAAATTAGGCATGGCATGCAATCATGTCTTTAGGTTCTCTCTGTCTCTTCCATTTTTAGGTCAAAATGCGATTTACTCAACATTGCTCTCGAAGTTCTCGCCCTCAACCAGGTCGGGGATATCGTCCTCATCCTCGTCCTTCTTGCCCTCGGCACCGGCCTGCTTCTGCATGTTCTGGTAGCTCTCAGCGAGCTTGCGCAGGGAGGCGAGGCTGTCGGGGCCAAGCTGGTTGAGGATACCGGGGACGAGCTCGGTGAGCTCCTTCTCCTCGCCGTTACCGTAGAGGGCGAAGGTGTTGGAGGGAACGGAGGCGTGGACTATTTATTTGCGATTACTCGTCAGTTATCTGCCTTCTGGGTCGGGGAAATGGAAACGGAAGCTGGAGTGAGGGACTCACCCTTGGGGGCGGCGAAGTGGATGACGTTTCCGTCCTCCTTGAACATGTTGACCTCCTCGATGGCCTGGATGGGCTGGACGTTCATCTTCTTCAGGGTGGTCTGGAGCTTCTTGTCGTCGGCACCGGAGGACTTGTGGACCTTCTTGACCTTGCGGCGGGGAGTACCCTTTCCTCTGTCGATGAAATTAGTCGCAGTCTTGGAATTGTCAATCGTGGATGAAGTCGTTTTGTTTTAGGAGTATCTCAATGTCGCAGTGATCGTGATTCGCGAACGAATGAAAGTAGCTTATACGTACCCTAGAAGAAGAAATTAAATGTTAGCTGTCAGTTACGGACCAAATTGCTCTGCCAATTCACTTCCAGAGAGTCGCGACATCACATTGCCCAGATGGTGCGCCTCGAAGCTTCAAATGCTTCTTCTCAAGCCATCCGCAGAAAACACCGGTTCGGACACCAGCACCTCGAAAATCCAAGGAAAGAAGAAAACGTACCAATCCGCACGCTCGCCTGCATCCTAGCCAGCTTTGCTTGATCCATTTTGACAGTAATTTATGTGCGTTCGTAGAGAACCTAAATCTGGCGCGATGGTTAGAATGAAGACGTCAATAATCCAGATCTGTGGACAAAATGTGCGGCTGCAATTCTGTTGGTGGGGAGGTGCGAGATAGGAACAAGCGGGAGGGTTCAAGGTTGCGGTACCGGGTCAGGAAAAGACTGATGAAAACACCGTCGAAATGGTGAACCGAATGACGAGGGCTGAGATGAGGTCTGGGTTGACTTACCGTGACTGAGGTGGTGTTTGGTGGGAGGAGGTTGAAGTTGCTGATGATGCGCATCTCGGCTCCCCGAGCACGAAAGTTCCAGTTGTGGTTTGTGTGGGGAGTCGAGCTCGCTAATTCGTTGCGTCGGGCGGCTTCTGAGGATTTACTCTACAAGCTTACAGATGAATTTCCGTTATACTGCTACGATTGTCAATATTCTGAACCATCATTCTACAATATCATCAACGACCTCTCTTCTTAAGGTGCTTTTGTTGGGTTGTGGGTTTGGCTCTTGGGAGATTTGAGAGGCTTCTCGGCTAAACCCTAAATGATCTCGAGGCTCGACTGTGACAAGACTCGGTGTCGCAGGAGACTTTTGGGCATAATCTTAGCTAACGATTGTAATTGACTAAATGATGAAATATATCATAATATCTATGGGCTGAAGAGAGGAATGAGTTTGTACCTGTCATCGATGTTGTCTCGCCTAGTAGAGTGAAGGTGGTTCCCAAGTCCTCGCGAGCGGCATCACTTACCAAATCCGGTAATCTCAACCATCTACCTGCTTACGCCAGGCCTTGATCACGAAATGTTGGTCACATATATTGCAGATCAAGCGGAGCGAGTATCCCGTCAATTCAAGTCTAATACTTCACCGATATATTTATTGCTCTGCTTTGAAAGGAAAATAGTTGCGCCATGGGTGTTCTTCGTGGAATCCCAGGACTGATTTGATCTTGGCGTTGGTCAATGGTGCCTCGAACACCTCCATCTGTCTTGTAAATGGGACATTGGGACAATGCTGCTTGAGAAACTCCTCTGTCGGGGTCGTGCTGGTGATAGTATCATTCGTCGCGTTGAAGATCTGAAACCCAAGTCCCGACTTCCCAAGGGCCAAGTCGCACATCCGACCAAGGTCACGAGCGTCCGTATAAGACCAACCATGGGGCTTCCATTTCGCAGGTTCATAGACGTAACTGTGAAAGAGCTGTTGTTCGTATTCTTCAGGCGCAATCACCCGCCCAATACGAAAGACATAGATATCCGCACCAAACCGACCCGCGAAACCCCTTGCAACTCGCTCGCCGCAAACCTTGGCAATCGCGTACGTATCGGTTGGGTTCGCATCGACTTCTTCGTCTACCGGGAAAGACGGATAATCTGTGTCACCCAGCGCGAAAGACACACCGTACACCGTGACACTGCTAGCAATAATGATCTTCCTGATCCCTAGTTTACAGGCGGCCTCGATCAAATTGTACGTAGAGACCGTGTTCGTCCGGAAGGTCTCGTCATCAGGTGCGAGCATGTTGCGTGAGTAGCCTGCGAGGTGAATGACCGCATCTGGGGTCGGAGGAAGACCCGGTGGAAACGGTTCACTTAAGGCGAATTGACCAGACATGGCACTGAAGACCTGACCTGACTGTGTCAGGTCAGTTTTGAGTGTGCAGACTTTCTCATTTGGGCAAGGAAGTAGATCCAAATTCAAGATCGTATGTCCGGCTTTAAGGAGCTCTGCGATCACATGTTGGCCGGCTTTACCGGAACCTCCGGTGATAATTACTCGAAGACCCATGATCAATAATTAAGGTATCAAGAGATAAGATTGTTCGACATAGCAGTAAGGACTCTGACCAGAGGCAAGTTCTTTGGAGCGACCAGGTTGGGGAGATAGGGCAGGTCCTCACGGGCATCTTCCCCGCTTCCCCGCGCGAGGTCGTGGATCCAGAGCTGACAGGCCGGCAAAGCATATATCCCTCTGTAAAGTGATCTTAATCATATTCAAAAGATTGAGATGATGCCCGAAGTAGATATCATGGTTTGGATCAGTATCAAGCGAGGAGGAGCGAAACACCTGGAGAAGCATTCGAGGGAAAAGATGGATCGTATATAGTGTAAAATATAGAGCACACTTATATAGGGGTGGTCAATTAGCAAGATGCATGAAAGAAGTTCAAGACACAGGTTTTTCAGAAATCTGAGCCTCTGTCCATTCCCATAATCTCTTCGCCATGTCCGCATCCGTGGCATACTTGTTGTTCTTAGCATGAGTCCCGATCGGAATGTAGTATGCTCCATTGGTCAAAAGCTCCCTCTTGACCCCAGCAGCCCATAGCTGGTTCAGAGCGCCTGAACGGACTGACCGAAAGAAAAGTGAGAGAGCAGCAACACCGCATTTTGAGACGGGACTGGACGCCTTCGCCTGTTCGTACAAGTTGCTAGTCACAGTACCAGGATGAACGGAGACAGAGAGGATCTCCGGGCACCGGCGAGCAAGTTCGGAGGCGAATAAAATATTGGCAGCCTTGGAAGCGGCATAGCGTGTCCAAGTACTAGCAGCCAACAGCGCATCCGTAGATGTCATGACATCGTACGACGGAGCGGCGCAGTTCGCCAAAGAGGCCAGAGTTACTACCCTCACGTCGGTTGAGGAAGGGCTGGCAGCAGTCTTTTGCAATACCGGAAGCAGCAATTTCGTGAGCAGAAAGTGACCGATATGGTTTGTTCCAAATTGCACTTCAAATCCTTCTTCTGTGGTTGTTGGCGGGTTGCCCATGGTACCAGCGTTTAAGATCAGGATGTCCAGGCGATCGCATTCGGAGGTGAATTTCTCAGCAGCGCTGCGAATCGAAGCAAAAGACGCTAGGTCGAGAGGAATATGTCTGATATCCGCGGGGGTCGAAAGCTGCCCCTGGATGTCGGCGATGGCGTCGCGAGCTTTTGTCGCATTGCGCGCACCAAGGTATATGCGGGATGGACGATGGTGCGCGAGCTGAAGGATTGTTTCTTTTCCAAGGCCAATGTTACCTATCAAAGAGGACACGGAATCAGCAAATGATGGCAACCATAGGAAACCCCTTGAAGGACACGGTCTTAAAGGTTACCTCCAGTAACAAAAATTACCTTGCCGGAGAGATCGGTGATATCACGTCTCGGGTCAAAAGACTCGCCCAAAAGACCGAAAGTCGATTCATTCAATGTAGGCCCGACGCTTGAGTAGAAATCCAGCGGGTGAAGGATAGCATGGGATGCGAAGGAGGCAGCGAAAGCAAAGTTGCTAAGGGGCATATTGCAGGATAAAGATATCAGCCTAGCCAAAATTATCCAAAGACGCTCGACGTTCTCCTTTCGCTAGAATAGTTTGCAGATTGCCCATGATAAGATAAAGGAGCCTTGAAGCCACCATGGTTCAGATATGTGGACAGAGTTCTGGATCGGCGACCGAGGCTCGTCTCCCATGGCACAAATTGTGGACTAAGAACAAGGGGTAATGATGCTACCAACCACTACACGTAAACAACTGATCAATTATACAGAAGTCCTTTGATGGGCCTTAGACGCACAAACATCAGACTGCATATTGCGACCAGGCTGGAGGACCCATAAGTTTGCTTGTTAGGTAGTTTCCGCGTAAGTCAAAATGGGGACCAGGATAGTCATGCATGGAAACCAGTCGTCTCCTTGCTGCAGCCAGCTCACACTTCTTGTGCTCTACCACACATACACGTAATCAGATAAATCATCCTTAACTTCCAGTCCTCCTAGCCTTAAGTCAACACCAATTTGCTTGGGAAAAGCAGAAGATGCGCTTTCTCTGTCTTCACGGCGCGGGGACAAGCGCTGAAGTATGTTACAACACGTCTGAACGTGCAAATGGTAGAAATAGGAGGCTGACTATCGAGGATAGATCTTCGAGATTCAGTCAGGTATTTGACCACGCCCAAAGATTATTTCCGGAATTGCCGGTGTCATCGATCATGCAGTAACAATCAAGCACAGGCGGAATCACCCAAGAGCTGGAAAATAAGGGCCACAAGTTCGTTTTCGTCGATGGACGACTGACCTCCAAGCCTGAAGCTGGTCCGTAGACATGACGAGAGTTTCAAACTGCTCCAACTCTAGCCCTCTAATCAAACCACAGAAATCGAAGGCGTTCTGGACGGCCCGTTCTACTGCCACTACCCCCGCGATGTTTACCCCGGCGAACACCTCGCCCGGGCATTCGAGTACACTCTCAACATCATCGAGAAGCAAGGCCCCTTTGACGGCGTGATGGGCTTCTCTCAGGGCGCTGCGCTTGCATGTGCTCTTATAGCCGACCATGCCAAAACCAGTTCGAAGCCTCTCTTCAAGGTTGCCGTGTTCATCTGCGGTGCGACACCCTACGAAAGTTCTGGGCTTAAAGAGCTTGTTGCTGAGGATGGGAAATACCCCGTCGCAATCCCAACGACGCACATTGTGGGTGAGCAAGATCCGTTTTACAAGGGAAGTATGCATCTGTACGGTATATGCGACCCATCTAAGGCTGTTTTTTACGACCATGGTTCAAAGCATCATATTCCGTTCGACCAGGCGAACACTACTGCCATGGTGTCCGCCATTGAGAAATCCATCGAGCGGGCTTTGAATGACGAGTAGGTAATTTGGCGCGGCTTGTGGTAGTTTGGAAACACAATCAATAGACCATGATTAAGAAAGAGTCACGAAAGGAGCCAAGTTCTGCGACCTCCTAGTCCGGTGTAGCGAGTTCTAGAACTATGCAATTGCATTCGAAGGTGTCACTCGATCAAAGGATGCCGATGTTCAACGCTGCTTATTATGAACAGCTCGTGTATTCCTATCTTTTGCGCTAAATCTCATCAATAGGATAGCAAACAGTAAAATCAAGACACCGAAGACAAGGTTTTTCATATGTGTTAGTGATAAACCCTGAGTCTGGATATGGTCATCAAGTCATAATCCGGCAGAAGCCTGCCCGTCGTCCTCTGGAGGGATAACCTTCTGAAGGAATCGCGCCAGATCCTCAATCTCTACTGGGTCGGCGGAGTGGCCCAGGTCACTGACGAGAAATCAGCAAAGAACAATTTACGACGGCGGATATGCGGAGAACTCACGGATAAGACTTGAAAGTGACATCCTCCAAGCCAATCTCTTTCATCTTTTTCGCCGACAAATCGCCGAAGTCGAACAACACGACTTCATCTTCCAAGCCATGAGCGAGGAAGAACGGAGTCTTTTTATTCGGCCAATTCTCCGGAATGTAATTCTTGATCTTGTCACTGAGAACGAGGTAACTGGACAGACCGAAAACACCGCCAAGCTTTTCTTTGCAAGTGATACCAGTAAAGACAGATATGGCAGCTCCTTGGGAGAAGCCACCCAGAACGATCCGTGAAGGCTTGATGCCCTTATCAATCTGTTCCTTGATCAAAGTGTTGAAGTAGTCGCGGGATCGAAGGATACCCGGCTCGTCCTGGTGCTGAATGGCTGATTCATAATCGAGCTATTGCAATAAATATGTTAGCAATGAGATCTCATCTCAATGGCAAAGTAAGCAAGGAGTATTCACCTCGCGACCAAGCTTCGTCAAGTCGTGCCATCCGGGCATGGTCATTCCGAAGTTCTGATTGAACGAAACAGTTAATCGACTCAGTTGATTGTATGACACATGGATCGTCTCAGCTTACCACTGTGATTGGGATCATAGGCGCATTTGGGAAGATAAAAGCCACCTCATCGAACATCCCGCGGCGACGCCAGTTCTGAGCAAGAGACATCCTTCGTGATGACACGAGTTAACTAGACCAATCCGATAAAATCCTCGAAAGCAGATCTTACCATCCTGCGCCACTAAGGGAACAAGTATCAGAAGTCAGCAAGAGTCAATGGCTTAGTACAACAGCAAACAGCTAACCTGTCGCCCAGTCCATGGGCCATGATGACCGTCGCCGTGTGCTTCTTGAGCGCCGGCACAATGTACGGTGCGCGAGGAGGAGCCATCTTGGCAGTAATGAATTCTTGACAAGACTGCACTAGAAGCCCGATCAATCCTGATAAGTACAGAAGTAGAGAGTGAGAAAGATGTAAGGATAGAGTTGCGTCAACTCAATATTGGCCTCAGGCAGATGCCCTCCCTCGATTCTGCCCCCGAGGTTGCATGGGGCTTCACCGCCTTATATTCAACAGGTACGTATACGCCAGCTTGGAGGAGATGTCGATAACAATCATCGCAGGCACACTTAGTGGCATGATTGACAGCATTCTAAGCCTATACTCTCTAATTTGAGATTAATAGTGGTTCTTCATTTATGAGTGATGTGTCTACACCCTTGGACGGTGCTGAACTGGATTTTGGTTCAATCCAGGCACCCCGGTAAATAAAATAGCGGAGGCTGCTTTCGTACTATACTACGGTAGGGCAGGAACGACGTGAGTCTGTCGATATTCTCACACAGTCTCCAGTAAAGGGAGTGCTGTTGGTGATGCCGTTCTTGGCCCTTTTCAGACATTGCAGACATGTTATAGGATTGATTGTGGGTGTGTTAGTAATAGGCTTGTTAGCGAGTTGTTTCACTGTACTAGAATAGAATCAGAATACGCCATAATTGAAATCTCAGCTGAGGTTGGTTTGACTGCCTTCTTCTAGAGAGGTCTCGTTGATAAGGGACGTTCTATGGATCTTTTGCTGATATACAACACATGATGAACAAATCAGTCGCTTGAAGCTGTGCCTGGGAACGTCGAAACAGTTACTGCTTCTCCGGGACATCTTCGAGCTGCTTCAACCAGTCGATCAAGTTTGTCTATCTCTGAGCTGCAAGCTATTTCTCGGCCTCTGCGGATCTGTCTTGGAACGCGAGGAGCTTTCCGCGACTCCTGCAGATAAGAGTTCCTCGCCTGTGTTTGAACAAGCCGGATATACCACGGAATCAGCTTCTTCTACGACTCGAAGACGCCCGCTGGAGACTATGCGGCACTTGTCTAAGGCTACATCCTCGCAGAGAATTTTCAATATCTTCACTCAGAAGGCCTCCCCTGCAAAGACAATGCATGACTTACGCCGGTATTGTTGATTTGTGTCCCTGCCTGTCGCTCACACTTCGTGATCGGGCACGACTAGTGAAACACTTGAAATTGCAGAGAGCACCTGACGACGCAGTCGTCAAGCTGGACCGTTGGAGATTGTTCCAGTTCGGCGTCAACGAGCAGGGAAAGCCATGCTTGTTGCACAGTTGTTTAGTCTTAAAACTTGCTCACGTTGAGGCCAAACTCAACACCATGTTGTTTCTTGGGGAGTCCGATACTCTAGTAATGCAGTCTCGATATCACATACAGGCGCAATTCCACCTTTTACGACTGAGGGATGGTCCTATTCCTACATGTCCTCACTGGGAGATCCTGGAGTTGTTACAGATTCGTCGAAAATCTTACAAATGTTTCTGCGATACTCGGGCAGAAGTGACCCCCTGCAGGCTAATCTCATAGTTGTGGATGTCAGTCGGATACTGGGTAGCTCTGACTGGCCGGCGGACCCTGTATGGTTTAAGCAATGCCGGTCCGTCCTCGAGGAGACTTACAACAAGTTTATTTTCTGGTAAGTTTACCGAAAGGAAATACCAAGTCAAAGATCTCAATTGGCCAGTTGATTTGTCACTTCAGGGCTCGACAAGATAAGTTTGACTGGCCTATCAATCAACACTAGTTCTTGGGCAATGCAGATTTTATCATCTTTTTGTGTCCTTCGCTATTTAGGCACTCCCTTGCTAACCAAAACGAACGCTTTGTTGTAATTCGAAACTATTTCGCAGCTTCCTCTGTCTAGGGAGTACGTTGTATCAGGGGAAAGTATAGGAATGTACTACATTGAGCGAGACATTAGGGTACACCGGCGCACGAGGCAAATGAATAATTAAGAACAAACGTTGACCAGCTCTGTCCTGATGGTGTCAATAACAGCAGACATCAGATCCAACTCCACAACGTGGGTCTGCCATGTAAAGGCCAACGCCATACACCGGTCACCACCCGTGATAACAGAAACCTCGAACGCATTCCCAGTGACACTTGCACTCTGAGAGAATACCATCCTTCCAATCCGCGGCTTAGTGGGATCTTGATCCGCTGCCAGAACACCCACATTCGAAACCTCAAAGCTACTTTTCCTTGCCTTTCCGACTTTAGACAGGAAGAGGTCATGAACATCATCCACGTATTTGAGAAGGTTGGGATTGGCGTTCTTCCCCTTCAAACTCAGGACATTCTCAATGGTTTGCCGCGCGCGTCTGGCC